GAAGTTCATCAAGAAATTAGCCTCACTTGTGCAAACACATAGAATTGCATAACTGCAGTTATAGACCTTACTTAGGACCTCAGAGAGGCATTCAACGAAAATTTCTTGAGTTATTGGGTATCCGCTAAGTGCCAAGTTCTGAGCTAAACACTGGGAATGTAAAAATGAAAAATACGCCCTTTGAGAGACATACAATTTGTTAACTGGAACAGAGTGTGAAAAGTGCTATGACAGAGACATGGGAATGCTGCAGAATTTTGCGTGGGTAATTACTTGAGGCTTCACAGACAAGGAGCTCTGTGAGGTAGGTTTTGAGGAATGAGGATATTTTCCAGGTTAACAAGAATGAGAGTAATGTAGAGGAAAGAGATGTCAGAACAAGAGGGAGAAGGACATTCCAGGTAGACTTGTATCTGTCCCAACCTTTTCATCCCCTGTTCATAAAGCCAGAGAAAACGTTTGTTAGCAGAGACTCACCAGGTAATTTAAATAGCTTTAAATGAATTCTAAGTAAGGAGGAAGAAAATGTCCAAAAATAATTTAGTCAGTTGTTTTTAAAGTGCCTACTGTGTAGAAGTTATCATTTGTGACATAAAAAGAAACATCAGAGTGGGGAAGACCCCAGCATTTCTCAGGTGAAAGTAAAAGGAAAACAGATCACAAACACAGCACATGGCTTTGGAGGTTAGAGATAATGGGCTGGAGATATAGAGCAAAAAAATATTCAGGGCTGGAAATTCAGCCTTGGAAGTCTTCTCCTGGAACAGGAGGCCTGAAATGCTTGCAGTGCCAAAGGGCTCTGAAGAAGGGAGCAGGCAGAGGGAGAAGATGGTGAAGACATTCTGGTTAGATGTATAAAAAAGGGAACCAAGATAGCCTATAGGTGTCACAGAATTCCAGGGAGGAGGCATTTCAAGATATGAGGAGTTTACGGCCATGCCACCCTGAACATGCCCGATCTTGTCTGATCTCAGAAGCTAAGCAGGGTCGGGCCTGGTTAGTACTTGGATGGGAGACCACCTAGGAAGACCAGGTGCTGTAGGCTTAAAAAAAAAAGAATAAAGCTATGCTGTGAATGTAACCTCAAGAGAGTGGGTTCATGGATGCAGGAATAAATAAATGTTATAGGAACAAGAGATAGCAAGAAATAGAATTTGTCATGGAGAGAAATAGGAGTAAAGTTAAATGGGAGAACAAGTTCAAGCAAATGGATCACCTAGGCTTGAAAGACCTGTAGACAACAGGGAAGAAGGAGCTAATGAAGAGACTAAAGATGCTAGAAGTAAAAACTGCTTAAATAAAATAACATGGAGATGGTGGGCTCAAGGGCACAAGTTAATGGGTAGCTATATAACAGGGAAGAAACTTCAGGTAAAGAAGGACTGCTGAGGAAGGGTGGGAAAAGTAAATAAGAAATCTATTGCTTGAGGGTGTCTCTTGATAGCCTCTTTGTGGGTAGCTTTGGAGGTGAGCAAAATGAAGACTTAAAACTGGTCCCATGAAAGGAAGAGGCTAAAAAGCTCCCAAAGTAGGGATTGCTGAGGAGCAATAAAGACCTCAGGCAAAAACTAACTAACTAACTAACTAACTAACTAACTAACTAACTAACTAACTAACTAACTAACAAAACAACACAAGACCTCAAACAGACTCAGGTCTTAAGATTTTGAAGCTGGCTAAGGCTCCAACAGAATTCTGCTGCTTGTAAGCCGTAAAGAAAATGGATAATGTGGTTTAGAGGTCAAGTGGGGGTATGTCCAGGTTGAGCTGGGGAGAGGTTAAGAAGACGATTGAATTAGTAGATTGGAAAGGTTACCATTGAAGTTTCTAGACAAGGCATACATGAAGAAAATGGTTTAATCCTGTCATAGGGAGGGAGTTTGCACCAAAACAGACTCACTTTGACCACACACTCAAATAGTTCTTGCTTTGGGATCTGCTCCTTTTGGAAGCTGACTATAATATAAAAGATTTTGTTTCATCTCTTAATTAGAATGTATTTTTATACTCTGCAGTCACTGTGAAAACATGCTAATTTTTCTACTTCCTTCCTAAATGAATTCTGACAATCCCAATTTTTTTCCTCTTCAGAACCTCTCTTTGATTTCCTCTCTCTTCTACCTCCACTGAGGTGTCTCTTGGTTTGTACCTACCATATATTGTATGTACCCTATGAATTCTTGACAATCTTCGAATTCATTTTAGAAACTTGAGTGAGAACAAGGTTTTACGTTTGTATGTCAGTAAATTGACCAGTAAATGTCAATTCCTGCAAACATGCTCAGTGCAAATTGTCTGGTAATTTCCTTTGGGTCTCTTTTACTTTAAGTGTTTCTTGCTTTCTTGGACTCCTAGCAGAATTGACAGCATCAGATCTTTTCCAATGCTAAACGATTACTGCAGATTGATTTTACCCAGCCTTCCCTGTTATCTCCCAGGACCATGTAGATTGTGCTGTGCCAGACCATCATGGAACAATAAACTCTTTCCTACATACTAATATGTCATCTGTCTGTCTGTCTATCTATCTATCCCTGATATCTTTATTGAGAATAATAAGTCTGTCTTCTTCAGTTGTTGTACCATTCATATTGCCAAAGTGTATAAAAGTTTCTCACCAACACTTAGTATTGCAAAAATTTTTAATGTTTGCCAATGGAGGTTATATTCTTTAGGAAAGAAACTGTGTGTGTGTGTGTGTGTGTGTGTGTGTGTGTGTGTGTGTGTGTGTGTTATATTTCTTCCTATGGCAGAGCTCAAGGTGATTAACAAGCAGGAAAGCTAAGATGAAATTAGAGTTATGTGCATAGGAAGTTAGATAAGCACAGTTCCTATACCCATATTATGTGTATTTTCACATCTCTTTTCTAGAGAGGTGATTGGAAATAGGACAGAAATTCTTGCTTTATTATTAAGGAAGTAGTTGTAAGGATAGTGGGCAATTGCTTAAACATTTATTGATACTGTATTCTTTGATATTGAAGTCTAGAAAGAATTACACTTTCTTTTCTTCTCCTTGAGTAGACACCTCATGTTATTGTTTAGTTTCCTGTGACTTGTTTAACTCTTTCATTTCTATTATAAATATCAGACCTCTTTTCTGATAGGTTCAAATGGACCTGATGTTGCTAGATGCTATGTTTAAGACTTAGATACCAAGACAGTTGCATGCTGATGACTCTCAAATTTGTTTTTCCAAGCTAAACCTCAAAATTGTCCCAGAATTGACCAGTGGGAGCAATTTATCCTTTTTTTTGAATGAGCATTTATTTAGACAGTTTCTAATTTTTTTACTGCTGTGAAACAAAGTGAAATAGTTGTGTTGCCACAGCACAATCACACCTTCAGGGCCTCTGCCTGTGCTCTTTCCTATGGATAAAATCTCCCCAGCTTCCTCTACTTCTTTCAAATCAACTTAATGAGCTGATTGCTGTATTTAAAATTGCAACCTTCCCCTTCTCTGCTTTTTCCCCTCTCCCTCTGACTGTCACAATTTGACACACTTTGTATATTCTGCTTATTTGCCTTTTTAAATTTTCTGCCACCTCACTCCCTCCCACTCCATGCTTGAACACAAACTCCCCAAGTGCAGAGGTTTCATTTTGCTCACTGCTGTTTCTCCAAAGTTTAGAACAGTGCCTGGCACATAACACGGGCTCAACTAACATTTATGGAAAGAAGAGAATGAGTGTTGCCGTGGATGGTTTTCTGAGTCTGTGAGGGATATTCCCATTTTGATACATTTAAAGTTAATAATTTCAATTAATTGACAAAAGCCAGAATATTGCTACTTCATGATAGTCTGTTTCCTTTTGTTCTTTATGAAAATAAAGTTCTGACTGAAATTTTTCCAACATTCTTTTCATCTAGGTCCAAGGAGATTGTTTCGGACAAGGTATTCACAATTAGGCTTTTGGAACATTGACTGAGAAGACTTCATTTCTGCAGATAGGACTGACCAGTAATTCCACATTTCTGTCTTTTTCTAACCAAGGTATTTATCTGATTGTAGCACTGAAAACACACAGTGCAGTCATTAGTTTCTGCTTGCAAACCTGGAATGTGTGTTCCTCCTGGGTAGGAGGCAAATTTTATTCAATGCCTGGTTCCAAGCTCAAAAATAAATTTGACTGAAAGCAAGAAAGCTTGAAAATTTAGGATCTTTTTCAAAAGGACAATCTAGTTATGCTTCTTAAATCAAGTATAACAATGAATAATTACTTGCAGAATGGGAGTAGAATGGTGTGGAAGGCAATGATAGAATGACTCTTTTTCTTCAGTTGAAGTTTGACCTAAGAGGAATGATAGCTCCATGAACAAAATTTTCCTTACCGGTGTGACCCCATTAAAGATCTGGATTTCCTTGTCTGTGTCATGACTGACTGCTGGAAGAAGAAAGCCATCAAACACTTAGGGAGAAATTCAGATGCTCCGGTCTTAATTTTGGCATAATGCCACTGGCTATTCTTCCTAAGGCTGACAACTTACTTCTTCCTGTGCCTTATTTTTCATCCGTAAAATAAGACCACCGTCAAAGTGCAGGGGCAAATAACTAACAAAAATGTTATGATGACCTTTGCAGACGTCAAGCGCTGAGTCAAGGGAACGCAACTCTCTTCTGGCATCTGCTAGTGACCCAGATATGGCTCAATGGTGTCATCTCTGACTTGGCACCTCCTTATGTATCCATGAATATTCAATTTAGAGACCCTAAAACTTTTCTCTCAGCCCGAGAACCCCTTGGAAAAAAGATAATGACAAGAAAATCTTGACACTTGTCTCTCTCCCCAGTATTTTCCTTTGACCTCAAAAAAAAAAAAAAATGTTGGGAGAGAGGAGAGGGCGAAGGGGAGGGGTAAAGGGTAAGGTAAGGGGGAAGGGTCCAGAGGGGAGTCCAGCTCCAGTTTGGGGAAATCCAGCTCGCGTTTTGCCTCTCGCTCAGTGGTGTAGGGTCCAGCGAAGGCAGAGCCCCAGCTTCACTCCCTAAGGTCTGTCCTGGGGAGACACTGCTGCTCCGGGGGGCTGACCTGGCGGGGAGCGGCAGCGCAATCCGCTCCGGCGCCGCTTTGTGCGCGCAGCCGCTGGCCTCTCTGCTCCCCGGTCTGCCCCCCGGGACGCCCCCCCTGCCGCACCCCAGTCATGCAACTCTACCTGCTTCTCCACTGTGGACCTTTGGGAAGCAGCCACTCACCGCGGGAGCTCGGGCCCTAACCGCTCCAGGAGCCGGTAGGTGTCCGCCCGGAGCCAGCCCGCGACCCTCGCTCGGGCTGGAGCCACGGGCTCCGAAGTTGTGGGGACCAGCGCGAGTTGGAAAGTTTGCCCGAGGGCTGGTGCAGGCTTGGAGCTGGAGGAACGCGCGCTGTCTTCGGAGCCTGAGCGGGCCACTGGTGAGTTGGGGCCGGGGCAGAGGAGAGGGGCGCCGGGACCCCCACGCGGAGGCCGGAAGGGAGTGCGAGGGGCGGCGCTCTGCTTGGGCTGGACGTGGGCCGGGTCTCGGCGTCCGCGGGTCCTCTGGGATGCGCAGGGGTGGGCCCGCTCCCCGCGGCGACCCCCCGCCCCGGGCCGCTTAAAGCTCTTTTGTTGCGGGTGGGAAACAATGCCCCCAGCCGGAGGACAAGGCCTCTTGCCCCCAAGGCCCCTTGCCCCCAAGGCCTGGCTGCTGGGCCGGGTGGGGGAAGCGAGGGCGCCTCAGGCTAGGACCCCGAGCTCCGCTGGAAGCCGGGCTGGAATGGGAAAGGGCAAGTGTGGCCTGGAGGAATGGCACTGGCGATAGAGGTGCCTCTTAGGAGATTCAGAGGTCGCGGCACCTCGGGGTGAGGAGAGGGAAGAGTTAGGGCAAGTTGCGGGGGGGGGGTGGAGTCCGGGCTGTTCCATGCTTAAGCGTACCCCCAAATAAGTTTTCTCCCTCCCTCATGCTGATAGAGGAGACAGGTTCGTTGGGAAAATATTTTGGCGATTGCATCCCTCAGCATTTCGGAGAAGGGGCTTCAAGGATGAAACTTTTGGAGTGGAGGTAGTAGAGGAGTCCGGCCAGAGGCTGACATAGAGTTCTATGGATCCGGGAAGAAGGGAATAGGGAACTGAATTAGTGTTCTGTCAAAATGGCTTTTAAAAAACTCTTAAGAGCGCCACTCGGTCGTCGAATGCAGTGGCGTTGTCGCTTCAGCCTCACTCTGGCGTTAACCCAAACAGGCTCAGAGGGCGGGAGGTGAGCAGAGCTGGATGCCTGGACCAGCAGCAGTGCGGCACCTGAGGGGCGGGTGCGGATGGCGGGGGTGGCAGGGACAGCCGCCAGTTTGAGTCGTGACAGGGAAGAGACGGGGCTGGATCCCTCTCCCCCTGTCCCTCTTTCTCCTCTCCTCACTTCCTTCCCTCCCTTTCGTCTCTCACCCACCCTCTCAACCGATTTAGTTTCTAGAACGTCTGTGTGCAGTCTTATAATTCTGCAGAAAGTGGTCAGGAAGTTGCTGGCCGGCTCCAGTAACTTTTCCACGTGCATGGGGAACCCAAGTTGGGCATTCATGAGCCAATAAAAATTAATGTATCATCAAGAGAACAAATGTTGCTTGAACTAGGAGGTTTCCCCCCGCCCCCAACTCGTCCTCCTTCCAAATTAACTATCTTGTATAGGTCACTCTTGTGCCGCCACCTCTCCTCCCAGGTTCCACCCTCACCAAATGAGCTGCATAATCCACCATAGTAATGATCAGTTTACGAAGAAATGTTTGAAAAGTGCTTCAAGACCTTGAGCGAAGAAAAGATTAGGTGCACAACCTAGCGGCGGGGTGCGCTGCCGGCAGCACCGGGATGGGTTGAAGGGCGGCGCTCTGGGCAGCAGCTGCAGGTCGGCCCTGAACCGAAATGTGCTCATCGTTTACCCCTCCCCCTCCCAACAAAATAAAATAAAACGAAAATGTTGATTGGCTTCCTTAGGCCTCAGGATGTCAAAAAGAATATGAACAAGGCGCTTGTTAACCAGTGGGGCAAGAGTTATTTGGGGGCATATTAGGAATTTATGACTACAGTTGAACGGGGGTGGGGGGCGGATTTACGCAGATAGGTGCGTAAAAAAGGAAATGTTTGGAGATTAGTCCGTATTATTTCCAAGAACTAAAGACTTAGCAAACACGATTTGGGGTGTGTTTCCTGATTTTACTGGTATTGCTACACAGGTTAAAAACTGAGTCCCTTTCCTTCTCACTTAAGGGATCTTAGTAAGATCGCTTGTCAACCTCTGACAGTATTTAAAACCATGCTAGAATTTAAATTAAACTTCACAATCAAGATATATGGGAGTTAGCTTACAGTGTCTTTTTTTCCTTGCAAAGATTAATAGCTCAGACTTATAGCTCTGGGACCATCGCTTACCATTTTAATGGGAGTTAGCTTATCGCTCTCAGCTCCGGTATACCAGAACTGATGGGTCGGAGGTTTGGATCACCACGGTCCCTGCCCTTTGTTCCTTTTCTCTTCCTCCAATCTTCTTTATCTGGTTTGTCTCTCCCCTCC